GGTGTCTCACCAGTCAGTCAAAAATGTCACCAGTCAGCATGACCGGACTATAGCCTTGCAATTTATGTTACCCTTTTTTGGGGACAGATAGAGCTTTCTTTTGGAGGTATATAATCACCACTTGGGGGGGGTTATTTTTTACAACATAATGAAAAAAGTACCGTAAATTTAAAATAAAAAAAATGTTTTCCCTTCGTTATGTTATAAAACATCTATTCTTACCCATATTTTTGGTAAAATATAAAAGACGGGGTCACGTCGGGTAAATAGACACCAAAACATGTCAAGCTTTAAAATTGCGTGCGTCCGCAAAATCTCAAAAAAACGACCACACTGAAAATTGGCCATAGGCGACGCTTAAAACGCTTTCACCGCTCATCAGTTTAGTGTTATCAGTAATTAATGGTCCTAAAATAATTGCTCACACTCCGACGTTTGCGGTTATATGTAACATGTGCGGCACCATCGTTGTTTTCGCACGTAGGCGCACCCGACGCATATCTGCATGTGTATGTGGAGGGGCGGAGGACATTAAAAAAAGAAAATATTTTCACATTCATTTTATAAGCCCCCCTTGTGATAGCCAATTTACATGACAGGCCCTCTTTATGAAGACATCAGGGGTCTCCAAGACGCCTAATGTCATCTAGGGACCCCCAGAGTAGCTGATGAAGCAGAGATCTGCTTCATCAGCTTCTGTAGCTAGAAAGTGACACTGAATGCAGGAAGTGATGTAATATACATCACTTCCTGCATTCCGGGACTGGAGAGGAAATCAAAAGGGAGATCGTATGTTGATCTCCCTTTGATCTCCTGTCACAGAGCCGTGCCAGTCCCGGCCGCATCGGGCAAAGCGGATCTCGGGACCGGCAATGGCAGTGACAGCTGCTGGCAATACAAGCGACCGGGCGTCTCGAGGCGCTCGATCGCTTGAATGTAAAGCTGCTCGTCGGGCTCCGCCGTCCTGTCGTCACAGACGAACGGACGAGTGGATTTTTCAAGCCCTGGCTATGTGTCTGCACCCCATATACCAGAGGTAGGCAACCTTGGCAGTCCAGCTGTTTTGGAACTACAACTCACATGAGGCATTGCAAGACTGACAGTCACAGGCATGACTACCAGAGGCATGATGGGATTTGTAATTTTAACACAGCTGGAGTGACAGAATTGGCTACTCCTGTCATATACCAACATTTATAACTCTAGAAAAGTTGTTGTTTTTTCTAAACAATGGACTCTGCACACAGTCCAGGAAATAAGTTGAGCTGCACACTGATGACTTCACTTGACAAAAACAACTTCATTCGGGCCATGCAAACGCTGCTCAGTCTTGCCTTAAATCTGCTGTGAAGCACTTGTATGGCTTGAGTAAAGTTGGTTTTATTCAGTGACATCATGAATGTGCAGCCCAACTTCTTGAGCCCAACCTATTGGGCAGGCACCAATAGGCTCAGCATGTCAACCAATCAGCAAGAGCTGCCCGAGCACAGTTCCTGCCTGTTCCCCACACTGGTTCCAGTCTACTACCTTCAACTGGACCTAGTCTGGAAAGGTGGTAGCTGAATATAAGAAATATATAAACAGCCTGTTATAGGTTAAGAAGTGTAACAACTTATGTAGGTAATTGAGACCTGAGGTCCACTTTAAAATATAGGTGTACCTTCTAATGAAAACCATGTAAGAGTAACCCTCCCCCCATCACTTTTAGTCAGGGGTAGGCAAGCTCAGCACTCCAGCTGTTGTGGAACTACAAGTCCCACGAGGCAGTGCAAGACAGACAGCCACAGACATGACTCCCGGAGATGGCTGAGTGCCAAGGTTGCCTACCCCTGCTCTTAGTTCTTATAGCAAAAAGAAAAAAAGGCCTCATACGAAGCATGCTGCCACTATTACAAGCTCTATGGAGATCAATGGAAGAGTTGACATGGGGTACTAGTGACAGCATAGCTAATGTGACATGACCAGGCTCCCTCGAGCCTGTCTACCCCTCCTTGCAGCATTGGAATCTTCCTCAGTGTCCTCAAGTCTTTACACTGTGTGTAGACATGATTGACTGGACCTTAGACCGCTGCAGAGGAGGGGGAGAGACATTGGAAGGACTTTATATAAGTAGGTAACAGCATCTCTTTAACAACTGCCACTTTTTATAATAAAATACTTTTTTCTCTTTTCTTCTCTGTTACATCTCAGTGCTGCTGATGTTCTGCATCACTTCCAGTCTACCTGGACTCTAGTGATGGCTGCACAGCTCTTCTTGCCAATTTCACCAGTGTCCCCCACCTGTGTTATGTGCATTTATAGGACAAGTTTTTAATAATCAGCTAACGAATCGATTTCAAAATAATCATTAGCTGCAGCCCTACTTACTTGTACTTGTGGAACTAGGCTAGTGACTAGTGGAGGAGGCATGGTGTGCAGGTAAGAGGAGCTGGGAGGGAGGGGGATGCAGCCCTGATCAGCCCACCTGAGACCCCTTCAGACGGTCTCAATTGAATGGCATCAGGGGATCGCAAGGCACTTTGTGCCTGCTGTGCGTTCGGGTGCGGTGCGATCAAAATAGTCAGATCAAAAATGGAATCTTCCTCAGTGTCCTCAAGTCTTTACACTGTGTGTAGACATGATTGACTGGACCTTAGACCGCTGCAGAGGAGGGGGAGAGACATTGGAAGGACTTTATATAAGTAGGTAACAGCATCTCTTTAACAACTGCCACTTTTTATAATAAAATACTTTTTTCTCTTTTCTTCTCTGTTACATCTCAGTGCTGCTGATGTTCTGCATCACTTCCAGTCTACCTGGACTCTAGTGATGGCTGCACAGCTCTTCTTGCCAATTTCACCAGTGTCCCCCACCTGTGTTATGTGCATTTATAGGACAAGTTTTACTCACCATCAGAATACCATGTGACAACTTAGGAGCAAAACCGGGACACAGCGTTGTCACCCGATAAAAGGAGGTGCCTGAACGAGGATGTACAAATCTTGAACGTTCAGTACCATGTTACCAATGATAGG